CCCAACATAATGAGCTAAAACATACTTAAGCCACAGTAGTGTTACAATCAATGCTTTATTAAAGAAGGAGGAATGAGAGAATTACCTATTACTGCACAAATAGAAATGAAACCTTGTAAACCTTTGTTTGCACTCAATATTGCTGACATAGAAAAGAAACCATTTTATATTACTTTATGTCCGACTCATTGCAAGCCTCATGATTAAGATGACTAGCCAGATTTAAATTTGAGAGATATATATAAAAGACCATACTAAACATCAAGAAATAGGAGACATTAATTGATTTTCTCTGAGGAAACTTAAGGCAGACACTCCAAGGCATTTCAGACACAGTTTCAAGCTGGCAGCATTTTATCGGGTAATTTTTTCTATTTTCTATAGATGTTTCTATTTTTACCATCAAATAAAAAGAGGGGAAATTGTTGCAGGACACCTTTTCATCCCTACCTTCTAACAGATCTCTCTTTGTCTCAAAGAATACTGCATCCAGCTGGTGACTAAAAGCTGGAATTACCATTTATTCACTATCAATTTATCCTTCAGCTTCACTCACAAGAAATGGCATCAAACCTGCTGTTTTCTTTGGTAGGCATCTGCATTCCTGTTAAGGTACAAAAGCCAAGCAGTTTTGCCTCAGCCCTTGAGTTTTGCAATACTGAAGGGGCCCTCTGGGAAAACAAGTGTTTAAATACATGAGAGGGCACCTCCCTATTGAATAGCTATTTACTTTGGGTTGAAGAGAAGAAAAAATTTCAATAAAAGTCCCATCTAATCACATGACATGGGTGCATACCGGAATGTTGGTTATTGCCTGCCTGGAGACACTTCTCAGATACTTTCCTTTATGAAAAGAAAAAGAGCAGGAGCAAACCAGTTTATAAATATTTGGCAATTTTTGACTAATTGGTGTTGATCACAGTTACAAAAGGCTAGAAAATTTGTAAAGCAACACTTTCAAGATACAGGAATTTGGATTCACTCAGCCCTACCCTATTTGGCCTGAATTAAAAACATCCTTTTGTTTCCAAAGTTGTTTCTTTTCTAATTATCAAACACTGTTAAGCAAGCAAACCCACTTTGCCAGGAAACAAACAGTAAGGTTCTGTTGAGGATAGTCAAGTTCCTGCCGAGCTGAAAGTCCTTCTCTTGTCATTTTAAGCAATTTCTAACATGTGTGCGTTATTTTCTTTTCACAGATTGTACAGCTGGCAGACAGGCAAGTGCAGAGGGATTCACTGGTTGTTAAAATAAGTGAAATGTCTTAAAATGGAACACTGAACAAGAACCAGGTGCATTTCTGTTGCCAATCCACTGAATGCAAGCTAAACCAAATTCTATTTTGTCCAACTATAACCTTTGATGCTCACCAGTTTTCTTTATGGAAAAAAAAAACCAACCCACAAACCAAAACAAAAAAAAATCCCGTATCTTGACTGAATGCTGCACACACAAATGGCAGTACAGCATCACAGTCACACACATGCCACGGTCATCGTCTTAAGACAGAGTTGTTCATTCATGGCAGACTCATTGTCTCACTGGAATAATCTTAGTGTGCTACCACGATACTTAGAATAAACCCGAGATAAAGTAATGCAAAAGGAACAAAAGCAGTCATCTTTTCTTCCAGTTATTGATATTCTCCATCAAAATGAGTTTCTGCTCTTTGGCAATACATTTAGTTTTTATTTCAATATCTCTGATTTTATTTTCAGAACACCTCCAAATCCAGGCTTGTACCAGGATCCGCTAGTGTGTTCCAGACAAACTGATGGTTCCCATACAAAAGGAGACTTGCATGTTCCGCAGGAGGGAAGTGTTTCATTTAACAATTGTATCTCTTACTCACTGTACCAAGTGATAATCCTGAAAATTACGATTGAGAACTAAAAAAAAATGAAAGAAGAAAAAAAACAAACAACCAAAACCCACACACCAAAACCACAAATAAACCCAACTGAACAAAAGACAAGTCAAACCTTTTCCATTTACCTCTTCCCTCTTGATCAGAGGGGGAGGTTTTTTTTGAGAACTAGTTGTCATTTAGTATCTAAGAGAAAGAAATATTAGTAAGTGTAAAGCATACAAAGTTTTTCAGGGAGTGGGAAGGGGTAAGGGATCACTTGTTTCTTTCAGCTTTCTGTTCCTATAGAAAATACTTCATCCTCATTTATGATGACTCCCCCTCTCCCTGCCCCAAATGCTATAATTACAAGCAGTAATTGTTTTTACTAGTTTTTAATGATAACAATAGCTACTAAACCCACATTAGTTTAGTCCATCAATTCACTTCAAACTACTCCCAAAATATTATCATGAACAATCCCAATCCCAAAATCAGTCTAAATATAAAGGAGACACATATAACCTTACAAATCAAAAGAAAGACAGACAGTGAAGTGCAGCTGAAAGTCTGTGAGCTACAATATTCAAGTTATAAGATGAAAAACATGATTATCAAGAGGAATTGGGACACATTTAAATCACTTGATATAATAGAAGATACTACTCATTTATGGCCACGGGTGGTGTATCTTTGTGGTCAACTTGCTATTTGCAGCAAATGAGCAACCTTTTGTAAATCCATACATATCTATTGTATGGTAAGTGACGCTTTAAGGCAAAAAAAAAAAAAAAAAAAAAAAAAGAGTACTCTGCAACATCAGAAGTCATTTCTGTTCCTTCCTGCTAACAAAACGTGCACAAGACTTGATGAGAACCATGACTTTAAAACCACAAGAAAACCAATGGCAACTGTCTCAGACTTCTACATGGCAGTGGGAAGACCACCTGATTTTTGTGGTTCCAAATCCTACATTTAACTGCATACTTTTAAATCAGTGTAACAGCAGTCTCTGTGCTAACATGCTGCTCAAGAAACCTAATAAAATCTTTAGTCTATTATGGAGGACCATTAGTGCAATATACAAGAGATGCTTCCCAAAGGATCTGAAGAGAAATAGTTATTTATGAGAAGAAACTCAAATCATTTATTGCTTTCCAATTGTCAAAATTCCTACACTATTAAGAATGACAGATAAGGAACTACATCCAGAGCAAATTGTCCACAGCTTGGCTGTATTCTACACAAATATACACAACCTTATTACCATCAAAGGGTTCAAGATAATTTAAAAGACAATTGCTTCTGTCTGCCAACAAACCAAGATACTTCGGGTACATTTTTCTTTTATCTTGTCCTTTCACCTTTTGTTCTTTTGGTAACATGGCCAAATAGGTGTAGAACTTCAAAACAGACATACTGCTTTCTTGTTCACTTCTAATTTTCCATTTTAACATATCAGCTTGGAAATAGCGATTCCACACACATATATCTAACAAAGCAAATCCTCTTCACTTCACAGATTTCTGCTGTAGCCTTCCTGGCCACCTTGATCTGGAATTTCATAGGCATACATTTTTGAAATTAACAAAAAGGTGCATAACTGTAACACAGGAATCATCCATCACATTCATATCTCATGTTATTCCTATTGAAATTCCTGTGGGAAAACAGGAAACAAGCTAATTGCACTTGTGAATGGCCTGTGATCATGTCTTCTACAAGACATGAGCAGCATACTGTTCTGTATCTTCCAACTGTGTGCTGCCTACACATTTATCTCTGCTTTCAAATTCCTGTACTGATGTAGTTACCTGAAATGCAAGGCACGAGGATGGGAAGTTCAAATCCATCTATCCAATCAATCTTAGCAATTAAAAAATGTTTGACATCAATGTATTGCTTACTGAGGGCTATGTATATACAAAGGAGGGGGAAAAGGATGCAGGGAAAAAAAGAAAGTTATATGGAAACATCCTGGGTAGAAATTGAGACATCTTTTTTCAGCCAAGACTCAAGTATCTCTGGTGTTGCTCCTTTTAAGAAACACTGCACAGTCTTATTCAACTATAAAACCTCTGATGAATTCCTGTGGAGTGCTCTACCTGCCCCACATAATGGTGCCAAATGGCTGCTCTGTTCCCACCCTCTATTTTCCCCTAGTTTTCTGCAGATTGGGGTCTGCTGCGGATTAGGAAATACTCCTGTACAATAGTGATGCAGTGGAAAAAAAGTCAAGTTCCCAGTACACCTCTTCCCTTAAAACCCTCACTCACGTAGTCATTAGATGGTCAATGCTGAGTTCAGACTATAAAAATCAATGGAAACTGAGCCTAGAGAGTGGCTAATTAGGTATCCTAGCTCCACTTCTCATTTCATAACAGGAGAGTTGTAAAAACAAGAACTTTGGCATCCATTCAATAGCTTTTCTCATGTTTTTACTTGCAACAGTGTCAGGCTTGCATGTGCACTAAGTTGTGCAGACACAGGCATGACATTCTGAGTCCTTACAAGAAAACTATATCCATTAAAAGCACAACATTCACTCAAGCAATGCATCAGGAAAGCACCCACACTGGAGTCAGAATCTGAAGGCAGCTACTGGAGGCTTTAATCTTCTGCATGTATCAGCAGATTACAGAAGAAAAATCTAAGAAATAAAAGGGCAATTCAGAAGCAGCTAAATTTATGAGGGGAAATATGCATATATGCACATCCTTTGCATATCCTTATGCATAACTTTACAGCCTAGTGCACCTCCTGCAACACTCCAGGTAAGAAAGTAAGTACTGAAGGCTACAAACTCACCACATCATTTTGTTGTTCTTAAAATTCTGTATTGGGATTCCAACTAGAATCTTTAGAACCAAAAAAAAAAAAAAAATTAAGCAAATTTACAAATAATAAAGTAGCTTGTGTCAACAGTTGCATCTCAGTCCAAGACAGTGCATTAACAAGAATGTCTCTTGAACAACTGCTATAGCTTTCTTTCCATTAGATCCACTAAAGCCAAACAGGGAAGGGTAAACAGCTACTTAACACATCAATGAAGTGGCATTAGGTTCAAGCAAATGAGCTCTTCTTCCTCCCTTTCAAAAGCTCTGGCACAGTTGCAAAAGGTTTTGTCTTGGTCTCATGTGACCGAATTACTCACCTTCCCCATCAGGGCTCATATTTTCATAGGAATCCCAGCGTATTAGTGGGTCTGAGGTATTGTAATCAACTATCACTCCATGGTCATTCTGAAGGTGTTCATATCCTAAAAAATAAAAATGTATGAGACCAAAAATTATCATAGCCACATTTGCAACGGTATACACACACATATGTATGTGGCCTTCTGACAGAAGTGTGCTCTGCAATACCATATTCTGAAATGTAAGAAGGAGCAATAGGGGAAGAAAGGTTATATAAACCAGCTAAAAAAAAATAAAGCTTGATTTATGTTTCATTACAGAAGGTACAAGCAGAGAATTTTATCTCAAGTATTTTGGTTATGTTGTAGCTCTGATAACTTCGATCAGTCCCTAAAACAGAACTAAGACAGATGATCCACCCAGCCCTATAGGCAGGCACAATAAAACAAATAGCTTTTCAGAATGAAACCACAAGTATCTATAAAGAGATAGTACTAAAGGAATGATAAAATAAGACTTTGTTAGAGATTATCATTCTGATATCAGAGCAACTAATTACTGAAGTTGAACAGGGAGAGCTGAAAACTGCTCCTCCATGTCCCTCCCAGTTCCCACAAAGTGCCAACTATACATTTCATCCATTCTCCAGCCCCCTGGCAGAACCTGAGACTGGGCAGCTTGCCTTCAATGTGTTTCGCTGTGCTTAAGCTGGCTCTGCCAAACATACCTGGAATTTTCAGCAGTAACCCACATTTTTGTGCCCTTAATGAGGCATAAGATAATATTCAGCTCTTAAATGTACACCATGAGGAATTTAGGTGTGGTCCAGTGACTCAAAAGCAAAGCACAGACATCAAGAACTCATGACCTTGGACTTGGCTTTGACATTGATACAAATCAAATGAGCTTTCTGCCTTTGCTCCTCTATCTAGATTAGGGAACAAAGAAATCCTCAGTTATCAACTCTTCCGCTATATCTGGAGAAGCAAGCTCTATTGTAAATTGTTCTAAAGCAGCAGAGTGATAGCCACATGCTGTGGCTTTCAAAGCCAGGTAAAATTAGAAGGACAAGAATGCTATGGTCCTGTACCTTTATATGCAGGCAGAAAAAAGTCATCTATAGAGAGTTTCTGTGATGACGTTTGTCACAAGGCAGATTTATGAAGTTTGTTACCTAAATATTTAGGTGTCTCATCTTCTTGGCAAGTGCATTCTTTCTCAAAAACTGTATTACAGTCAGTTATTTTCTGGAATACTGAGTCCAGTTTCAAGCTACACAACACAAGAAAGATATGAATACAGTGAAGCAAGTTCAGGGGAGGGCAATCAGCGTGGTCATGACCAAAGGACTTGTCCTGTGAGGAAAGGTTGAGGGACCAGGGCTTCTTCAGCCTGGAGATGAGATGGTCTTGGGGGGCGACATGACAGCAGCCCCCCAAAGGCCATGCAGGAGACAGAGCCAGGTGGGAGCAAGGCAGAAGGACTACAAGGAACAGGCATAAATTGAATCTCGAGAATTTTAGAGTCAATATAAGGAAAAAATAACTCCACTGTGATGGCATTCAGACATTGGAACAGTCCACCCATTGAGGCTGTGAAGTCTCCATGCTTGGAGGTTTTCAAGATTTTACTGGACAAAGCTCTGGGCAGCTTGGTCCAATCTCACAGAGGACCCTGCAAAAAAAAAGCAGGAGGATGGACTACAGATACTCTGCAGTTATTCTATGATTCTATCATATTTTCAGGTGTGGAAAAGTCATTTTGCAGAAATCGTAAATAAATATTTCAAGGTGAACTCTTCCTAGCCAGTTAATCACTTAGATAGCAATTAAATACAAATTTCCAATTACTTAGAACCTTACTTTCCAGCAACTTGGAGCCTGCTAAAAAACATATCTCTGATTTGCTATCTAAGGAAGGGAGACTTGAAAAAATTTTGATCTTTTTTCAGACATGTCAACTGGCCTCTCTTCAAGCATTTACTATCCAGAAATGTTTAGCACAAGCTGGACAAATTTATTTCTAAAACTGTTTTTCTTATATGGCTTTCCAACAAGCCAAGTGAGATCTTCGTGTTCAGCTGGACAGAATCCAACTTATACTGGCTGGCACAAGTTTCTAAGT